AATGACGGAGCGGGGGCGACCGTGGCTGAGGCGAGGAAAATCGTCAGGCTGGCGGAAGATAAAATACGTCAGCCTGAAGAACCCTCCGGTCTAGTCAAGAGCCCCCTTTCTACATCTCTTTCCCCCCCCCGCCGCCGCCACTACTGTTCTCTGTGGTAGGGGAAATGCACTCTTCATATGCTCAGGAGCCCTGATGTCTAGCTAAATGTTGGCCCTGGGAAACATGACCATAAAAAGAGAGCCTGTGGTTTGAATAGCCCTGAGGGGAGGCCTCATTATGTGGCGTGATTACATCCCGTGGCGAGCAGGTCGGAAGCCCGCGGCCCCTGCCCCGACCCCGACCGGGCGCCCTCCGCTCCTGCCCTCCCACAGGAAACCCTGAGTTGCAGCTTCAGCCTTGGTTTCAAACCGGAGGATGTGTCTTGGGTCCGATCCTTTCCTCTTCCCGACAAGCCCCTTCCTGGCCTTGATAAGCAAGGATGGCTCCGATCTGGGAGCGCCCCCAGCTTGCGCCCTGAGGGAGCCCGGAGAGGAGTCCAGGGCTTGTATGTATTGTACAGTACTAGGGCAGAGTCTAACATTTCTTTCAGAGTAGAGAAATAACAAGGTTTTTCTCCACTACCCCAAATCCTTTATTTTCTTGGAATCGTAGTAGGTGTTCATGTATTGGTTGCCTTTACACCCCATGTTTCTTCCAGCCAGCTCGAGGAGACCTGCGTGGCACTTCCTCCCCTGTTAATCTTCCGCCAACCTAAAGAGAGAGAGAGACTGGCTTCAGGTCACCCATGAAGTTGCCTGGCTGAGCGAGGACTAGAACCAAGGTCTCCTAAATTCCCGTCTGACACCCTACCCGTTATCTAACAGGCAAGGGAGAGGCTCTCTCACGCAGGTCTATGTGTGTTGACTTGCAGCTGTAATTCAGCAGTTGTAATTCAACCCACATTGTTTTTTACAAAGTAAAAAAAGCAGCCTGCCTTCCCAATAATCCTGTGTACGCTCAAAGTTAGAGTAAGTCGCATTGATCTTTTCCTTTGACAAATACGTTAAGGTTGTGCTAATCAGAGTGGCATTCTTTTCAATTTGTGATGAGGGGTAACTTTGGATTCTTCATTTCATTTTTAATTAAGGTCCTTGAAATTTAGGAGCAGGTTGCTGCAAGTTCTCCCTTGTTTTGGGAATGGCAGAGCCAAGGCTCTTTCCTGTTGATGACATTCTTTCCTTCCCAGTCTCCCTCTTTCCATGCCAGAGGACTTTTAATATATCTAGCATGTTGTCTTAGCCAGGATGTGGGGAAAATGTTCTGATGCAACCGTCTATAACAATGTTGCCACTTCCAGTTTTCAGCCTGTTTTATAATGTGTTCAGGACAGGACAGCTGTCTCCCTTCTTTTTTCCTTAAACCCACCTAAAAACTATGAGCTGCAGGATTTCACTATCTTGTATTAGATCAATGCCTAAGGAAGTTTTGATCTCTGAAATTAGGTTTGGCAAGCCAGGTGTGGAGTTGGCATGGGTGTGCTAAACTGCAAAGTCTCCTGTGTATGTGGCACTGCCCTGCTATTTATAATCATGATGCTGTCACCCTATGTGGTGGTTGCCAGGCAGTCCTGCGAAAGGAAACTGAATGTAGTCTTTGAAAAAAAAGGAGAATGCATCATCCTTTTTTGAGCAAATGAATTACAGCTGCAGCAATATCCAGTGTTAGATGTATGTAACTCTATGTAGAATTGTGTTTTTCGTGAGTGAAAGGTGTGCTCGTTTGGATATGAGTGGTCTGATTATTATTATTTTTTTAAGAATAAAAACTCCAAAGAACTGCTTGAACACGGGGTTTGTGCAAGATCTAAAACATTCTCAAATTTTCTTTGGTGATTAATAATGTTTATCAATAACTTCTAATAGTTAATTAGAGCAACGTAGTACTCAGTTGGACAGGAACCTTCAGACTCCTAAAAAACAGAATCACCTTTATATCCTAACAAAGAACATACCTATACTGTATATTTAAAATTTATTGTTCGCAAGTAGCTTTTAATGTTTGTTCTATAACTAAGACCTTATTGCTACTGACTCTAAAAACAACATAAACCTGTGATCATTTCCAAGCCAGATATCCTCTTGGGGGGTGGTGCTTTGTTGTTTTGCTCTCCTCAAAAAGGAGTAACTCCACTCCCCATTCCCAAATCTGGTTGTTTCACAGAAATCGCTTCCCCTAAAGTGAATGTCTGTCATAATTGGGAGCAATTAATTTTTCTAGTTCTTAACCTTCCCATACTGACAAGTCACACTAGAACTATATTGAGATTATCCATGGCTAAATTGTCTTGAACACAGAGCCAGGACAATAGCATGTACAGTAATTAAAAGGACTGGAGTGCAGATGATTCGATGCCAATGGAAGGCTAGAGAAAGCATTGTCTTTCAGAATGCTTCGGCTGCAGAGATTAGTGGCTTGAGTTGATGTTGCTGAGTCTCCTATACCCACCCAGGTTGACAAAAGAAAAACTGTGTTGTCTTCGCTACATTCCTACACATAATTAACTGGCAATAAATTCTGTTTGACTCAGCAGGGTTTACTCTGGAGTAAAGAGTTATATTCTAAATCTTCTGTTTAGAAATCTGTAGAGATGTATCCAACTACAGTGCTCTATTCCATGTAACTGTCCTATCTCTATACCTCCTTAGCTAGCATAATACAGTACTGTTTCACGGATCAAGATGCAGAGCAGAATGTTTGTACATATATATAAATCTGTATTTAAAAATGCTACTACTTTGGGGAGAAATTAACTAGTCTTGGTCCTAATGTCTGTTTCGGTCAGGTGCAAGTTGCAAATGTTTTGCCATTTTGGCACCAAAATGTTTCAAGCCCAGGGGTTAGATGTGGATGACATTTTGGACTTGGCTTTTTAAAAAGCCTGGAATGGGAACCTGAAGATTTCTGGGTAAATTTGCGAATTCTGAAGGATGGGCTATCTTATAAATTGGTAAATGGGAAGTTTTCCTAATGGAGGCAAGGAGAGTTGAGTTGCCCCTATGTTCATCATAGGGATCAGTACTACTTACTTATCCATGAGCAGTTTGAAGTTAAGAGGTGAGGCTATCAAGACTGGAGATGTTGCTAATTGAGTTATAATGGTGAAAAACCAAGGTATCTGTGAAGGCCTTTACTAGGGCCTTTGTAAATTGGATGAATGACCAATAAAGCAGGTGAGGTTCTATGAAAAGAAGTTTTAAAATGAATCTGGGAATGGCTGGAATGTATTCTTTGAGTGCACTAGCACAAAGGTAAATTGAATGTTGTGAATTGTTAGAAAAAGGACTAAAAATAAGTTCATAGAATATTCAAGTCATTGTGATATTCACGCTAGCTCAGTGGCATCCAATATATTCGCGAAGGCTTTCACGGCTAGGATCTAATGGTTGTTGTGGGTTTTTCGGGCTCTTTGGCTGTGTTCTGAAGGTTCTTCTTCCTAATGTTTCACCAGTCTCTGTGGCCGGCATCTACAAAGCCAACTACACCAGAGCACAGAGTACTGTCCTCTAAAGATGCCAGCCACAGAGACTGATGAAACGTTAGGAAGAACAACCTTCAGAACATGGCCAAAGAGCCCGAAAAACCCACAACAACCGTCAGTGGCATCCATTGATTAATGAAACATAACGGGAAACTGTTAATTTACAAAATTAGAATTAAGCATAATATTTATGTTATTGCATTTAATATATTTGTATCCCACCTTTTTCCTTAAAAAGGACCCAAGGCAGCATAATACATTATATTTAAATAAGTAAACATTTGATGTGCCCGCATTTATAATACTGTGCATAATTTTGGTCAAGCTTATATTGACTTGAGGATGGGACAGAGCTTGAAAGAATACAGAAAAGAACAACTTAAAGATATTTCAGAAACATCTGAGTTATAATTGTTAAGATGCTGTATATATTATACGTCCTGCTTTCAAAACTTGCTATTTGTAAATAGTGTTTGGTCAGAGAAATATATATTGAGAGGCTCTACCTTGTTTGGAGATGTTTTCTAATTTGTGGGGAAGGGCAGACAGACAGGTACTCTTTTGCATCTTTTGTTGAAATAGGAAGTTGTTGGGGGCCTATGAAAGTGAAGCAGTGTTTTTTAATTTAATTGTTTCGGCATGGATTCTCTTAGTAGCAGTGTAACCTTACCTTTGCCAGTACTAATGGATGGGGATTCTGTCTGTGCAGGTTACTAATAAGATTCTCATGTGTACTGGCAATTTCTGAACTAGGGGGTTGCAAGGATTTCCTAGTATGAAAAGAGAAATGGATTAAAATGCTTATGAGTAGAGATGGCGCAAGGATTTCCTAGTATGAAAAGAGAAATTGATTTAAATGCCTATGAGTAGAGATGGCGGTATTTGTATACGAATATCCCCGCATAGCTGGACTTAACAAGGGTCCGGCCCCTGGGGCCGGACCGTCCTCTCATGCATCCGCCAGTGGAGGCCCCACTCATCCATCCAATCGCTCTGGGAGCGCCATTCTCTTTCCCCTCGGCTAGCCACTCCAGGCAGGGAGAGAGAGGACAAGTCACTCTGCATGGTTGCTGGGTGGTCAGTGGTGCTCTGGGAATGATTGGAAAGGATGAGCAGGGCTGTTGCCACTGCCACTGGACGCATGTATGGATTGTCCAGCCCCAGGTGACAGACCCCCATTAAGTCCAGCCGTGTGGGGATATTTCAATACGAATACCCCCATCTCCACCTGTGAGCTCATAATATTGAACATATGGGAATCGCTGGA